TCGATAATGACCTTTGGTCGTTTACGGCTTAACACTGCTGACAACAGATCCTAATCTAACACTCGGAATTATCTGCATATTTGATTTTTATTGAATTCTAATCGTTTGCCACAAGTCCTTATACATATTCATGGCACAAATTTTGCCGCGGGCAGTACTTTGTGTCGGTAGTCGGGTTTATCTACGAAGTAATGGATGATCATTTGTAATTCGATTAAATCTCGGATAATTATGGATTTTACAAATAATAGCTTCCGCATATTTTTTTCGTCCGAATGTGACGATGCGCTTCGTTTTCTGGAAAGTTCGTACGTTCCTTCGTATCTCTTCATGCCACTGGTGCATCGTCTTATAGTATGTTTTGCTTGTTGCTTAGGTTTGTAGAGATTAGGTGACAAACATTCCACTGATTTCAAGTAGATCTTCCTTTGGTCCCTAGACGCGCAGACCCAAAGCTCTTTCGAATTCTTTCTGGGACTGTTTTTATATTGTGCGTTATCGGAGAAATTATAGAGTTGACTCAAATCTTGGCCGTTGACATTTTGACCGCCATTAAAATCAAATTACTTCTTGTACCACTAAAAAACGAAAATTTACCACATTTTAAAACTTAACTTTAATTTTTGTTTAATGTTCAATGTACGTTGCAAAATTTGTTCTTGCAATCAGACTAAGCGTTCCTAGAAGAATGTTCACCCAAAAAACTCTAAGCCGGATACTGTGTAATTAGGGGAAATTGTTTTCATTTAAAATATGCGTTTTCTCATATTCTGGAAGTCTGATAATAGCAGTCGTAATTAGCGGAAATTAGTTGTAAATTGTTATTTATTGGCAGAAGTGGTGATTTAGTATACACAGATCCACTACTGATAAACTGAACTCTTTGTTCCTTATTTACTTTTTACGTTAATGATGAGTTGTACCCAATTATATTTAGTATGTCTGGGATTATGTCCAAAATTTAAGGCCTTTCTTATTTTAACGGCATCTAGAAGTTCGCACTCCCTATCAACTCATTAATAAAAAGTTCGTTCGGTCCACGAAACTTCCATCAATCGGGGCACCTCGCACATTTCTAAACGGCCAATCCTTCTCATGGCTGTGAGTTAATAAGAAATAAGAAGGCAATGAAAGTAAAATCCGTTATCGTCATACATTAGCAATAATCGTTTGATTAACATTGCGAGTCGACAATTTTTAATGTGTCGTATCGGACGGAGTCGAGAGATTCCAACAATAAAAACCGTTTGCACGTGATCCGTCGAACCAAGCAAAAAAAAAACGGCGGACATCCCGATGATCAGTAAATCAAACGGAATCGCACGAGTTTTTCCAGGCACGTTTTCAGCGTTCCACCCGGTCGTCGTCCGTCCGTCGTATATGGTCTCTCGAATTCCTACAATGAAATGGTAGTGCGATTGTGGATCATAATGACATGTTCTGGCGACGAGCGCGTATGTCGAATGCCTCGAGCTGGTCTCCGGCCAGTATATCATACCGGTCTCCACGCCCACTTCAAACAACGTCGTTACCCAACAACAATAACAATTTGTTACGGGAATAATAGCGCCCCGTAATAAGCCGAACGGATCGGGTCAGATCTCGAGCGATCGTATCGCGTCGCACCACCACCGTCCTACTGAAATGAAATCTGCGGACTGTGGTGATGATCCTTCGGGACGATAATTTCGTGCTGCTGACGATTTTGCGAACTGCTCTATCGATTAGGTACCGATAGTTTGGTATACTTCGACCAAAATTATAGTGGTTTTACAACCGACCCCGTCATTAACTTTGCCTACTGTTTATTACTCCAGCCCCTTATAGAACACCCTGCCGAGCAGACCCTTACCCGTAACCATTTCAGGACCGTCCTAGGAATTTATCAACCTACACTAACAAGCGGGATATAAGTATGTTTTCAATCTTATTTGCCGAGCAATTCTTGAAACATATACATAAAAAAATTAGTACAAAGTAACAATTTATTATGTTCTATTTCATTACATTCCTACATAGTATCATTATTAATCTACAAAATATTAAATATAATAATAATAAAGTATCCGTAACTTAAAAAATCGTCACTATCGGTACTGTCGTTAGCTAGTTCAATAATCAACTGAGCCACTAGTCGTTCTCCATAAATATTTTATTCTTCTATTACTCGTTTTTCACCTCTTGCCGTATTACGTTTATGGTGCTATCACTAAATTTTGGTGCAGTGTTATTTCTTCGTATATGCGCCTTCAACTCAAACCAAATCATCTCAATCGGGTTATGTATACTTAGTTGATTTCAGATCTTTACTCTACTCCCCCTTCTGAATTTCTTATAACATTGTAAACATTCAAAACAATTTGTTTAGCATCCGAAGACAAATGGATCCGTTTTTTATTTGCTGAGGTAGTTCGTCTTCCAAATTGTCATTAGGTTCGACTACCATCTCCACTTCGTCTTCAAATTATGCGTTGTTTCCCATGTCTTCTTCTAATAGGAGAACATCTGCTTCATTCCACGGTCTCCATATTTTAAAGTGGTTAAAAAACGGGAACCTCCAAAAAATTTTTAATTGTAAGATTCTAATAAATATTTATCTGTATTCTTATGACTTACCTTTATCTACCGCGAATATAATCTATAGTCTTGAAAAAGACAGTTATTGTTTACAAATCCAAGAATTGTGTAGAAGACACAAAAATACAAGAAGAAGAATGATGATAATCGACAGGCACACAAGACAAAAATGATTATTTTCAAACTTACCTGTAAGATAAATAGAGTACTTTCCCTTACCCTTTGAACTATCCAGTGAAAACAGCCTCGCAGGGTCAAAGCTCGAGAATCAGGTACATAAATATTATATAAATAAATATTGGAGGGATCACATTCAAATACCTCTGTAATTTATACGAACCTATTGCAATTTAGATTAAACTCTTAAGAAGGATACAAATCACGTGATGCAAAAATAAACGCTTCTACTCATTCAAGAATACCACACATCATCAACGCTTAATCAAATTTAAAAAGGTCTATTTACTTTTCAAATTAAAATTTCAATTTTCTACAAATATTCGTTAGGGGCCATCTCATTCAAGACCTACTTAATGCAGAATAAACATCTGTTGGGATGGGTTTTACCACGGTTCTGCGAAGGTTTGCGGTTAAGGTACTGTAGAATACTTCAAACTTCAAAGCAATAAATGCACTATATTTTTGGTCGTACAATAGCAAATACGATATTCGTATTAGGACTCGCCGCATTATTTCGAGAATTGATCAACCGTTGACGTTTCACTTGCTTTAGTGGATGATTCGCGTTGAGCATTACATTGATAGCTCTGGCGATCTTAAAAATATAATGGACACTAAAATTTCACATATTTGTTGTAATTACCGTTAAATAAAAGCACTTGTAATTTGTGAAATTTTTGCATATTTATTTGGCCTTTATTGTAAAGTTTACAAATGGCGAAGTCCTGAGTAGCTCTTATTCTACCACCTTCCTACATCATACTTCGCGTCTGTCTCGTTTCTTCTCGCCTTCGGGAGCTTCCATTTTCTGCAAGTATCAGCTTTACAAAATTACTTATTTAACTATCTGTTTAGTTCCTATTTGTCTTTGGTTCTCACCCTACCTCTGTAGGCCGAATATTCCAATCCAATCTTTGAATTAGTCCAGTCCAAGTCTCACAAAAATAAGATGGTGTCGGTCTTGTATATTCTTATTTTTACTTTCCCTGACACTCCCTTGTCCTTTTGTTAAAGTTCCAGTACGTCCAGCTGTTATTGTTGCCCTTTTAATAGAATTCTTTTTTTTCCTTAAATTAAAATATAAATTCCAACCGAAAATGACAATAATACAGAGAATAGTGTTACACATATGTTATCATACGTAAAGGTACGGTGAAACAAAGTTAGTCGGAATCGAAAAGTTGTTAAAATTGCGTTGATTGCGATGATTTCTGATGATTCCTATTATCGCCGAGCACAGTGCAAGTTACTAAACAAAAAGTAAATTGCGGACAAAAACCGAGAGGTAATTATAAATGTTCTCAATTTCGAGCCAAGGGAAGGAATTTATATTTTATAAATGTTTTATTAAGTTCAAAAATAAACCTACAACAGTCATTCTAAAGTTTCTGAGATCACTTCATTTACTATCGACAGTACTAAAGATTCATATAATTTGAAGGTTAAGATGCTTATGTTGGGATCTTAGAGCAAAATATGACGTTTGCAATTGCAATAGAACTCTCAAATATAAACTTAGATTTTCACATTCCTTCTTATCGCGAGTTTCACTCCACCAATAAATGGTGCAAGAGAGACTCATTGCTCTTAATTTGCCTCATATAGAATTTGCCAGTTTGCTGTTGGTACCAAAAATAATGCACAACCAGAAAGTAGCGATTGCAATTTTCTAGAAATATTTCACAATTTGTTTTGGATCCTACGTTGTCATTACTTTCGTTAAATAAAAATTTGCCTCAACTTACTGCTGTCAAAAAATCGAATTAAAATTTTTGTACTTACTCATCCCACTTTTTTACCTCTTGTGTGTTTTTGCTCTTTTTCCCAAATCAATGCCAACTCCGTCAAATAAAATACCCTGTATATTTTATTAAAGATTTATTACCTCATACACTTTGCTTATTGTTTTTAATACAAAGGAGCAATAATTTTATGGAAATAGTTTAATGACAAACATATTTTTCAAATTCACCTTTTGATTTCCTCCTGGATTTTAATTTTTTTCTCACTTCTTCGCAATATTCATATTTGTCCATAACACTAAAATAATATGACAATACGTAATAATACAATGTGGTTTTTTCTTACGTTATTTCAAATTATAAGATGATTAATTATAAAAAAACAAGTACGCAGACTTTTTAGTTACACAATTGCATTGTGATTCATGACAATCCTTACTTCTACATTACCCCCAATTCATTTTAAATTAGAGCTTAACACTCTGGTTTATTTTGTTCCAGGTCAATAGGCCGCTCACTATGAAAAAAGAAGGGATCCAAACCAGAAATCGGAAACTGTCGTCAAAGAGCAAAAAGAAGAAGAGCGGCGGAGCTTGCCTATCGTTAGGCGGAATGATGGGCGACATGATGAAGCCCTTGGACAGTAAAGGTGGTTTTGGTGGCGGTTTCGGAGGTGGTATGGGCGGCGGACATCCTCATCTGAACGCTGCACTCCATCCGCACCATGCCATGAGTCACTGGTACCAAAATAGCACGCATCCTCACGGATTCGTTTCAGGTCCACCTCCTCCAGCACCTCCACCCGCAGCATCGTATCACCATCACATGAGTTCACTCAGCGCAGCAGGATTAGGATTAACGTCAAATGGAATGGTGAGTAATTCTTACAATATGCGGTGCTGAAACTCACCATCTTTTTTATGTCATGCTATGGGTCGCATCTACAATCGGCACATATTTCAGTTACTGAAAACTGGGTCGTAGTGAAATAGTTGCTAGATGGTTGTACCAAAACTACTGGTACTGGTACGGCTTATATTGTTTGGTTGTTATTTTTGAGAAAATTCTTGAAACGCATAACAATGCTTTTAATTTTCTTTTTGTTTTGTTTATTTTGTTAAATCCGATATTGATTCACATTTCCTTTGTTTCAGGCCGGTTGGAGGTCAGAATACACGTGATAAGGGCATTGCCAATAAGGAATTAATTTATATAATGTCAAACAAAGTCCTGTAGATATTGTGTTAAAAGTGATCATAAAAAATCTGGTCATAGTTTCCTGTATATTTGTATTTAAACTAAATGTGTACATTGTGTAAAGAAAAATACGTTTGTTCAGTGACTTCGTGACCAGGTTCTTTTGTAATTAAGTACAAAATACGTTTGTAATGTATTGTAAATAGATGTTAGGTCATTTTAAGATAATTTTTAATACAGATGAGATAGTGTAAATAGGAGATTATAAAAACACTGTGCAATCCTTCACATCTAAATTAAATTTATATTAAGCAAACTGTAATGTTATGTACAGGGTGCCACATTTTTTTACTAGATGCGGTAAAATGTTCAAATTAAAAGATATCACAGCCAAACAACGTAGTGACAATTTTCGGTTTCTTTTTACCCTATTTTTTTCAAAAATCCGCCCTGTACATCAAAAAGGAAGAAGCGAAGAAGTACCTCTGCTATTGAATGACTTTCTTAGAATGTTATCTTGCAATAACATTAAAAATGTTAGTGAGACATTTTTTTATAAACTCATTCAACAATTGAGAGACGTGCTATAGACTGCAATTTACTGTAAATATTTTACTAATGATATTAAATTATGAAAACCGACGTAAATAATTATTTTTGTTGTTGAACAGTTTGAAAAGTTGTTTTTTCAAAATTGATTTCAAGCCTAAGAATATCGTTGGAAGAAGGAAGCTGTCATAAGTATTTTATTCATGCAACAGCCTTTGGGTCTACGTTTTTTTCATTACTACATATAATTTTATCACATAATTTACCCGTTGCATCGGTTTTTAAATTTCAAAATTTGTTGGACCGCCCCATTTATTATACGTACTTTTTTATTTAAATTTGATTACGAAACATTGAAATGTAATTGGGAATTTAGCAAATAATTTAAAGAATCAACTGTGTATATAAAAAATTGATGTATGTATATGATCTTTGTGTGATATATAATAAAAATATTTAAACTCACTTCTGCATTTTATATAGTCCTTGGTCAAAATAAATTAGCGTATTTTTTTTAGTACGCTAGTTTTTCTTTTCCTAACAGAAGAGATTAAATCGATATATGCAATGGTAATAGCAACCAAGGTATGTTAAGAAACTCTAAAGCTACTGAAGGGGTCCATTTGAATTTGTTTGAAAGTTATTAATTAATCAATAAAAAATATCTGCCATCTTTTGATAGTTTTTCGGCTCAGATTGCAGATTTGTGCCTGTGCCTGCACTCTTCAAAAAGTATAGTGGTTTACAGCAAAAAAAACTAGTTCCCAACTTGTAAGTAGCAAATTTGTAATCAAAGAAAGATTTGACCAAAATATAACTAAAAATATAATTTCTATGTAATGCCTTATAGATGTTTCTGGTTTTGAAAATTATTAATTTATTCTTATCGACCTGACAAATTCCACTGGGCTTTGGATAAAACATATCGTTTGTATCGTTTTCTAATTAGATAATTAATTTAAATTAAAATAAGATGAAGGAAATTTTCGACAACGCGTGTGTTTTTTAATATGAATACAGTATGTAATTGGGATTATTCCAAATTTTTGACTGACTGACAGATATTTTTAAATGTTAATCTAAATTTTGCTATTTGCAGAACATTTATCAAATTCTGTGCTGAAAAACAACTTAAACCAATTCCTTCTAAAGGACCGAGTTCCTGGGTCAAACAGATCTTTTTTTTCACAATCGCTGGATATTAAGAAATTATTGATAGTGAACAGTTCATCAAGACATACCATGTTAGATTACGTCGAAACACCGAGCTTCCAGTTTATTGAAAGAGCGCTGTGTTCGCGTGTTATAAAATGTAAAACTGAGGAATCTACAAGTGCAACGTTCACTTCCAAATGACATTTAAAGGAATTACTGTGGTGGAAAACATCTGCACCTCTCCCTGCGCCAAGACAAGGTCGTGGTAAGTCTAGGTATGCCCGGTGTGTCCAAAGGAAGGCAGGTGAGTCGGCCGACGGCACGGCTTCACATGCCGAATAACTTAAATATTAAATTAACTGCCTTCGAGCCGACGTTAACAATAAAATTAAGACGCACAGTATACGATCTATAGCTTTTTAATGGGAACCTATAAGCCGCACTATCAATTAGGGCGGGGGGGGGGGCTATTTGATAGTGCTTACAACGAAGAGTTTCGTTACTTTGCGTTTTTTTTTAAGCTCTAGCTCTAATTTTACTGGTTTCTTTACCAGAGACATATTTACAATTTAATAAAAAATAAAAACACTAAACTAGGTTAAAGTTATTTGAAAGAAGAGACTAAATACTGCAGAACTAAAATTTTAGTACCTACAGGCTGTTTGCCAGTGGTTTTTGCGATTCACGGCTTCGCAGCAGCCGAATATGATATGAAGCATTTCCAATTCTTTATTGCTAATTTCTTCATGACGCAATATTTAATTGAACCTTCCAGTTGGCCATATGATCGGCCGCATTTTCAGCTGTAATTGGTAATTCTGTTCCGATCAAATCTCTATCTGATCTGTATGGATAATCAATTGTGTGCGAGGTGATACTGATATGAGTTTGTTGTCTATTGAACATTGGCTATATCATTACGGTTAATTGGAATTGGCAAAAATCAAAGAATTCTTTTTTAAATGCTTTCAAATTGATTATAACAGTGTCCCTCCTCATCCTGGCCGATGGTAGATTATATTCATTTGGTTTTATAACGTTCTTAAATTATAGTATGCGAAATCGTAAGAAAGTTACATGAAAAATTTGGAAATGGCTATTTGACTGCTTTTTGTGGACTTTAGAAAAATAAAACCGCTCAAATCAAATGCTTCATGTTTCTTGCTGTTAGGTCATGAAATAAAGGCACTTTACCTCTCCTTCATCCCTCAAAAATTATTATTAAATTGTTGACATGCAATTTTATATATAAAGAAAAAGAAAATTATAATTTTTCCCTTACAAAAATGTCATCTCTCCTTCAAACACGAAACAAGGTATAATATTAGACACAATTCTAATTTTTATTTATATTCATTTCTTAAAATATCCTCTACGAAAGCCAAAGTTAATATAACGAATAATACTATTTAAATGGACGAATAAGTGAAAATATTAATTACGCCGCTGGTGAAAACGTACTTAATATGGCGCGAACGCAGTTTAGGAAAATCCACGTTTTGGACAGGGTGTGAATCCTTAATTTTCATTCAGATAAATATCTCGATTGTTTTTTGACGCAGGATGCAGACGCTTATTTGGTATTGCTAAGGACGCGTACAGCTTAAGAGGAACTGCAGACGATTATTTCGTTACCCAGTGACGTTGTGGAATTTTTTTTATACTAATTTACGGAGATTTAAGAAACCCTTACAGCAGCGTTTTCTGTTGCCATAAAGAAACCGTAACGAAACCATTGCGATACGCCCATTTTAGATTTCACGGGTCAAGATATAAGTCGATATATGACAAAGCGCAACAGGGATGTATAAAATTGTTTTAAAAATTGTAAACATGTGGATATTAGGTCATTAAAATATTAAAACTACCTCCGGCTCCGATGAATAGTCGGAGTACTTAAAACCGTACTTAATATTTTGTGAACTCTTATTTACTGGCACTTACTGAAGGAGCTTTGGTGGTACTTGGTTTATGTTATTTTCATCAGTCTTATTGGATAGTGGGCTGCATTTTAGAAATGCGTTAGCTTGAATTGTTCTAAGCGCTTGTATACTTTGATAGGGTAATATAGTAATAATAAAAATAATAATAATAATAATAACAATAATAATAACAGGTCTTTATTTATCTATAAACAATAAGAAAAAAAAACAGTATAAGATCGAGATCTAGCAAAGCTTCTCGCCTAACCACTCTGCATGAAGAGATTTTATGAATTAATATACATTAACTTGATTGTATCACTGTGAAAGAGAGGTTATACATTTAATGTTATACATTTATACACTTTTTATTTAAAAAAAAACTAAAAAAAAAAGTTAAATACATTTTTATACTTAGGTACATCAATGAAATGGAGGTGCTGCAAGGAACTACAGAAAAAAGCAAAATAAAAAAAAATGTCTTAATTGGACAGTTTTAAGCTGCTTTCTAAAGTCGGAAGCGGTCGAGCAACACTTGATATCATCCGGAATGGAGTTGAAACATTTAGCGACATTATAGTTGAAAGAAACACTGGCAGTACGGCACCGCGGGACAGAGTGCAGAGAATTATGGACGAATGAAGCGCTGATGAATATCAGATCCCTTGACAAGTTTTTTAAAAAAGTACTTTAGCAGTTCGAACTGCGTAATTTTAAAGATTAATGTGTAAGTGGAGAACGAATCTTTGGTCTAATTTAAGCCATCCGGATTCGTGATAATATGGTGAAATGTAATCAAATTTCCTAATCTTATAACAAACCCTTAGGCAACTGTTTTGAAGCCTCTGTAGCCTTATCTCATCTTTGTTACATCACAGTAAGATGAAAGGGAAAGAACAAGAGGGTCGCATAACATTAGTTTGATGTCAGTATTTAAGATATCTTTGAATATATAAAGAGTTCTTAGATTCCCATAATTTCTGTAAAGTAAGCTAGAGATTGCTATTTAAAAAACACCCAAATTCTTGCAAGAATCGGTAATATTGTTGTTCTCATTATTTACGACAACCGTATAACCAATATTCTTGAACGAGCGTCTTTTCCAAAAAATAATACCTTAGTTTTCGTTTCATTTAGGAGAAGACTATGGCCACAATAAACTTTTGAAACAACTCGCAAATCAGAATTAATTTGTCGGTTGGTCAGGAGTGAGTTTTCAAACCCTCGTATAATATTAGAAAATGGTGAAAATGAGTCGCATAAGGATACTCTCTGACTTCGTTCACTTAACTAGATTTGAATGAGACAAATGGGAAAACTTACTAAGACCGAATTAATCGAGTTTAGCGCAAAGAACCTCGTGATTCATGGTGTCAAAGGCCTTGCTGTAGTCTAGAAGTATAAGGTAGGTTTTCTTTTCTTCATCGCTACTCTTAAATAAATACCATAAACTTTATTATGAAAAATATGTCTTAATATTCCTTTTTTCCTACTTCCTAACTGTGGATACCAGGTAATCATCAGTCATGTTGTTGGGTGATACTATGAACCCTCGCGTATAAAAAATAAATTGGAGAAAATGCCTCTTAATTTAGTATCACCCCAAATATGACGGCAATGTAATTCACGCGACATGATGCACGGTCTTCATCGGACAAAGCTGCGGAAAAAAAATTGACAAGCATACCGGTAGCAACATATGTCGGTTCAGATTGTCGTGCATTCCAATCTATGCGGTTAATTACACATCAAGGGAATTCACATAAACTAGGCCGTAGTCTGAGACATGCGGGTAAATTATTTTTTAAGGACTGTTGAGGAAGAACTGTACGGATCGATTATTTCCCTATCCAGTGACGATGTAAAAAAAATCCTTACAGCGTTTTCCGTTGGTATAATGAAACCGTAACGAAACTATTCTGATACGCCAATTTTATATTTCACCAGTCAATTATAAGTCGATATATGAAAAGGCACAACAGGGTTCTATAAAGTTGTTTTAGACTTTTGGTCATTAAAATTTTAAAAAGTACTTCCAGCGATGAATGGTAGAATTATTTAAAACCGTACTTAAAATTTTGTGAACTGTATTTACTGGTACTTATCGAAGGAGCTTTAGGTGTACTTGTTTTATGCCATTTTATACTATTTTATTAAATGGTGGGTATGGTGGGTCTGCAGTAGTTAGTTCTCCCTAGAATTTGCTTTCGTATTTTAGAAGTGGTCTAGTTTAAATTATATACTGTGATAGGTTAATATCATAAAGTGTCTTAATGTTCCTTTTTGCCTACTTCCCGCTATAAATATCCAGTTATGCAGGGATCACCAGTTATGATATTAGGTGATACTATCAACCCTAGCGTATAAAAAATAA